TGGCATTTCACAGCATCACGGCTTGATTGCCTTAAACTGGGATTTGAGCGAGTTTCCATGTAGATCTTGCGGCTATTGGGTGACTGATCAGCGGAGTAATGAAAGGAATTACCGTTCAGAAATGGATACTACGGCTCAGCACGGACACCCGAGGGTTAAACAATCGACTGAAAAGGACATAGGAAGAAAGATTGTGTGTGGGTTGGAGTAGGGGGGGGGTTGGAGAGAGAGAGAGAGGGAGGGAGGGATGGAGAGAGAGAAAGAGCTTGGACATGATAGTTCAATTCCCCCGAGGATTAATTTGTAATTCAATTGCTAAGTGCAATCGTGATGCCCAGAAAGTGTAATTTACGGTATGTAAAGCAAACCGCTTGGGTTGGGGTGGGATTAACCCCATTCGTGTCTCTACCCCAACGACCTCTTGCTGCTTTGAAGGCTGCAGATGGGAGCATTTAGAAATTGTGCCTTTTTGGGGGCGGGGGGGGGCTTTCCACCCTCGTTTGATTCCAACTCTATTGAAGAGATCAGCCCACCCGTCACAGTTATAAAATACGTACGAATAACGTCCATGAAGAACGGCCACGGGAATTTGGCTAGTCTAGCCAAAAGAAGGACTAAGGATGACATGATAGCAGTCTTCCAATAACAGAACAGAACAATGGAACAGAATGCCAGAGTTGGAAGGGACCTTAGAGGTCTTCTAGTCCAACCCCCTGCTCAAGGCAGGAAACCCTATACTATTTCAGACAAAGGGTTGGCCAGTCTCTTCTTAAAAACTTTGGTGAGGGAGCGCCCCAACTTCTGGAAGCAAGTCATTGATTAATTGTTCAATATTTTGAGGGGCTGCCACAAGGAAGAGGGGTGGTCAACCTGTTGTCCAAAGCATTTGAAGGCAGGACAAGAAGCAACGGAGAGAAACTTGAGATTTTCAAGAAGAGATTGGACTGCCGTTTGTCAGAAATGGTGTAGGGCAGGCATGGCGAACCTTTTTGGCACCGAGTGGTGCATGTATGCATGGCAGAGTACCAGAAACCCGAAGACCAGTTGGCCGGTGCACGCATGCCTGTTTTGGGGGCATTTGGGGGGTTGTTTGGGGCTGTTTTTCAGGCCTTTTACAAGCCATTCTCAGGCCATTTTGGGGGCCTGGAAAACGGTCTGTTTTGGGGGTGTTTTTCGGGCCATTTTCTGGACCAGCTGGCTGGCACACATATGCAAGAAACCAGAAGAGCAGCTGGCAACGGTGCATGTGTCCACAGTGAGGGCTCTCCATGCCACCTCTGGCACGTGTGCCATAGGTTCGCCATCATGGGTGTAGGGTCTCTCTCCTGGGTGGGGGGTTGGACCAAATGACCTACATCACACTGCTAACTGGAGCATACAAAACATTTGCTAGACCTATACTTGAATACAGTTCATCAGTCTGGAACCCATATCATGTATCTGATATTAGCAGAGTTGAGAAAGTCCAGAAATATTTCACAAGAAGAGTTCTCCACTCCTCTACTCATTGCAGAATACCTGATGCTGCCAGACTCGAAATTCTAAAACTAGAAAACCTACAACTACACTGCCTTCAGTCTGATCTAAGTATAGTATATAAAATCATACGTTGCAATGTCCTACCTGTCAATGAATACTTCAACTTTAGCCGTAACAACACAAGAACACACAATAGATACAAACTCAAGGTTAACTGCACCAAACCTGACTGCAGAAAATACGACTTCAGCAACAGAGTGGTCAATGTCTGGAATACTCTACCTGACTCTGTGGTTTCTTCCCCAAACCCCAAAAACTTTAACCTTACACTTTCTACTGTTGACCTCACCCCTTTCCTAAGAGGTTTGTAGGGGGCGTGTATAAGCGCACCAATCGTGCCTACTGTCCCTGTCCTATTGTTTCTTTTATTTTTCTTATAAGTATCTATCTCATGTATTCAAAATTATATTTATTCTTATACCTGTATCTTGTAAGCGATTGACAAATCAAATAAATACTAAAAATACTAAATACTATAAGGTCCCTTCCAACTCTGATTATCTGTTATCTATTAAACTAATCAAGGAGAGAACCAAGCTAGAATTAAGGGTAAATTTCTTGACAACAAGAACAATTAATCAGTGGAACAATTTGCCTTCAGGAATCGTTGGTGCTGCATCACTGGAAGTTTTCGAGAATAGATTGGACAGCCAATTGTCTGAAATGGCATAGGGTTTTTTTTCTTGAGCAGGGGGTTGGACTAGAAGACCTCAAAGGTCCCTTCCAACTCTGGTATTCTGTTAAAAGGGACAAAAATCATCACCCATCGGTGTCCTTTCTCTTGGATTTGCTGAGAGCCACTGCACGGGGCTTTCCCAAAGCTGTATTTAAATGAAATTCAAGGTCTGGAGGTCAGCCTTGTGATTCAATTTTGCTCTTTCTTAGGAGATTGAATTTTGCTTCCTCTGTGCAGATTCAATTTTGGTTCCCCCCCCCCCCCTTCACAGAAGAGCTACACATAGTCACCTACAGCCCTCCTCCTCACCGTGAGTACCCCCGCTTGGAGAAAATGGACTGAAATCGAAAAATCCAACTGAAATCGAAAAGGAAGCCCTGACCCGGAGGGTGTCTATCCCTACTCCCAAGTAGCCCGTGGTCCCTGTTGCAAAACCAACGTTCATTTCGGGTCTTTAACAAAACTGCAAGGGAAGGGAATATATTTTCACAGTCCAGATGGCTCCACTAAATCATTTATAACACCCTATCGACATCCTGTATAATTTTTCCTTCTTTTTCGCCAACTCCAACTGGCAACGTGCCTCGCTGGAGGATTGTCAGTCGAATCCGGATGGAACAGGGACTTCCCTTCCTTTCTCTTCCCCCCCCCCACAGGAACTAATATTCATGAACCCAGGACCTACTCCTTGGTGCCCTTATGTTCTACTCAGGGCTTCCTGTGGGCCTATGTGGACAGCTTTTAAAAATATCTCTCCCATCACTTCTGCAACTCAGTCAAGCTCCAAAGAGTGGCAAGAATATCTCTGGATGACATTAGTCAGGATGGATGCCCAGCATTCTTCATTGTCTTAAGAATACAGGAATAAATTCTCCACCAACAGCTTTGTAACTCTGACGGAAAGGAGTAAAGAAGTAGAGCCCTAGGAGGGAGGGGTGTAGTTGTTCTGACCCAAAACCTTGTCCAATAAAACAAACAGGAACCAAAGGAAACGGAATCCTTTCAATGATTCTTACGAATCCCCAGTTAAAAGGCGGCTGCAAACTAATTAACTTTGATAAGTATGAGCCTTGCCAAAACTGTGCGAGGCTGCCAAGAATAACAGATAAGAAATATTTCACAACACAAGAGTCTTCAAATACCAACTTAAGATACTGTAATATCCACGAGGCTGAGTTTCAAAACGTCTTTGCTTCCTGCAAAGAACGTTCACTTCACAGCTGGCTTATCTTCTTGAAGGAGGGGTCATTACCTTTCAGCCTTATTCCTGAGTTGCCCGTGCTGTTGCAGCTGCTCTTTCATGCGAGCAACCCTGCATGCACACGCACTTGGCACAGGCTCCTCGGGAACCTCTTCATTGCTACTGCCAACCCCCACAATCTCTGAAGACAGCAGTCTACTCCCTGATGGTCCTGGCCTCTTATCTGAGTCTTCACTCTCTTCAGCCGTCTGCACCTGCTGCCAGCTAACCACAACAATAGTCCAGAACAGTACAAAGCAACTCAGTCTGGAAATTATGTGTGTGAGAAAGAGGGTGAAGAGAGCCACTCCTTAATAGTTTCCCAGAGTACATTATAGATGCAGATAGTAGACTCCTTAATCTGGCAAGATTCTGTCTATAGGTGTAAAACAACAAAGAACTCAGCCTGGAGCTTCACTCTTGGTTTTGAGCTTGACATCAACCCAACACAACTGCATCATAAACCAGTTCTTTGTTCTTCTCCGTGTCTTTTCCCAACTCCAGGTCCCTGGGTTCCATCAGCCACTCAGCCAGATCTTTTCTCTCCCTCTTTCTCCTACCTGTGGATATCCATGGTTGTTGACTCGAGGGACATCAAAATCCTCCATTACAGGATCTGGGAAATTCACCACGGTCAAGGGAACGGCAGGAGCATCAGGTAACCGAGCTTGCATCTTCTGTCTTTAAAAAGAATGAAAAGGACAGAAGGGTCATTTGTTATCCACAGCTTGGCGCCATTTGGTTGTTAACGAGAAGGTTCTAATTACACCATAATCCCAGACCTGTAGACATCTTCTCAAAAGGAAGTCCTGTGCTACTCAACAGGGCTCATTGTGCCACATAATGTAGGCTGCTCTCCGAAGTAAATTCCACGAAGCTAAAAAAATTCCAGGCAAGTCCTGGTTGCAAGATACATTCGTGGCCTTACACAATTTTTGACTTTTCTGACTCAATCTCTGGGCAGAAAAATTAGAAGAAGATAGTTATATCACATGATTCAGAAAACCAGAGAGCTTGGAGCGAATCATAATCGTCCCCATTCATGTCATTTATAGGTCAACGTTCTTAGAAAACCTCACTGCTTCTTATCTGGATCTTCAGGAAGTTAGTACACAATCCCAATGAGATTGCTACCTGACACATGCGCATACATGCACGCTCCTTATTCAGGATTTATTACTCACATGTAGGCTCCAAGGTTATTCACTATTCTAGCAACGGCTTTGACTTTGCCACCAGGCTGTGCAAGAGGTTCATTGATCCCTTTGAGGAAAACCTAAGATTAGAACGAAAAAGGAAAAAGATCTGGAACAGATTCGCAAAGCACTGTGGGAAGGAATATTCCCTGAACTCTTTCCCTGTAGAATTGTGTCAATGACTTGAATTATTGGAGTTTTTTTAATCAACCATGGAAGTTCCTTCTTTAGAACTCTTTGAAATTCAGTTTCTTTCAAAGACCACCAAGTTCTTTAAGTGGTCAAGAAAAGGTTCTTTGTAAAGTAAACAACCATTTTTTGACCAGTTAAGGATGCTTCATATCACATACATTTCAACACCAAGACAAGCAATAGTCAAATTTCTCATTTTTTTAAACAAATCACATGTCTAGCTCCATTTGACTTATTCATGAATTCTCTGACCCATCTCCCCAAATGGCCCGGATTTAATAATTTTTTAATTCCTTGTTCAGGCCCTCACCTCCAGCCCTGTGTAGTTCACTCCGGCATAGCGTGGGATGAGGCTACGTTTACGAATGATGGATGCATATAACTTGGTTCCTGTTTGGTCCTTCTTCCGCGGCTGTTTGAGGAAAAACCAAAAACCAGAATGAAAAGAGATTGGAAGGTGCAAACGAGACAATAAACCAAGCAGAAGGAGGCTTACGGGTTGTTCTTGAGATGGCTCGAAGGACCTGTAATTGATAAGTAAGTCAGGAGCTGTTCATTACAGTTCATGCTACCCTGGAGAATCATCTAGAAAGTTCAATGCCATAAATTGCTCTGATTGGTGTAAAAGTAAATACAATAATGCTTCTATTTCTGGAGAAAGGATGGAAGTGGCTTTCAATTAAGCTAACATCAAAGATTTGGCTTTTGGGAAGGGTTATGGCCAGTAGATTCGACAATACAAAAGGGGAGAGCTTGTGTTATGATGGCACAAGACACCTTTTGCTGTTTCCTCATCATTGTGGTTGGTTCCAGATGCCCACACAACCCAAAATGTTTCATGCTTTGTCTGTGTTAATCTCTGGCGATCAGTGGATATCTAAGCAGCGTTTTTCAACCGTGGCCGCTTGAAGAGATGCGGGCCTCCATTTCCAGAACTCCTCAGCCAGGAAAGATGGCTGGGGACTTCTGGGAATTGAAGTCCATGCTTCTTTAAATTGCCACGGTTGACAAACACCAATTTAGAAGAACTGTAATTCTCCCTCTGCAGAGGCTTCTAAGGTAAGGTTGGACAGATGTCTTCTGGAGATGACGAGGCTCTGGATTACTTAGATTAAGTAGAAGACGTCCATGGTTTATAAACTCCTCCAGTTCTATAGATTTATTTCACATTGTGTTCTCTCCCTTTCAAAATTCTGAACCACTTGATTATCCTAACTTATCAAGAACTGTGCCGCAATACAAAGAAGCGTGAAATTGAATGGAAGGCGCCACTCATTGTTTTGAACTATGCAGATCAACCAGTTTTCTATATAAAAATCCAGGAAGAGTGAATTCTTTACCTATTTCTACACAGAACGGGATTGTCACAGTGTGGCTTAGCATCTGCAAACAAGGGGCCACAAGACCGAAACCTTTTAATTGTCCCATTTTTAATTATCAGTAAAGCACTAGTCTTTAAAAGCTTCCATAAAGGTTAGAATCACAAGCAATTCAAGCCCTATAGAAATACGGGGAGGCTGACGTTAAGATGAATACAAATGGATTCTTGAGTCATCACCAGACAGCTAATCATTATCATGTCATCAATACAAGCACTTTCCTTTAAAAAAAAAAAAAATCAGTCTTTGTTGCAAACGGGTAAAGGTGTAAAGGTCGAATTTTTTTTTATTTTTTTTTTGGAGATGTCAGAAAGAAGAATTTGCAGTTCCATTCTGCACAGCACAATGGCTTCAAGAAACCCTGCATGTTTGCATTTAGGGGTTTTAAATTTTAGCATTCCGGGATGAATGGAAATATGTAGGTATCCATTCTCAGATGATGCAAGGGACGAGAGTGGGTTTTTCTCTGTTTGTTCTACAGTTTCAGCTTGGAACAAAAGGCAAACCTGGGGAAATGACTCAAGCCCAGACTGGATTTCATTGAGGTATTCTATAAGGACTTCCTTTCTCCTTTAAATTTCCCATTTTTTTCTTTTTTTTCTTTTTCTTTTCTTCCTTTTTTTTCTGGGTGGGGGGTGTACATCTTCAATCTCAGAACACGCTCAACTGTTCGTCGCATTTCTCAAATACCCCTTGAGTTTGCTACTATAAAAAGAGTGAGCAGTATTTGGTGGAAGGAAAACTGGATACGTATTTTAGATAAACGGAGGTTAGATAGAACAATAAAATAATGGGATAGTAGAAGGCCAGGAAAATGGATAGATGAATACAAATAATACAATACTGATAGAACAATAGAATGATAGAACAATTGGTACAATGACTGATTGATTAATACAGTAGTTATACAGATGTAGAGAAAGCCAGTCAAAGAAAGAAAGCAAGAGATGATACAGAGATAGAGATGGATGGATGGATAGATGATAGATAGATAGATAGATAGATAGATAGATAGATAGATAGATAGAT